TGTTACTAATAGCTTCGTGTTACTACTAGTAAGGCACTTGTTACTAGATCTCTAAACACATCATCAGATTCAGATTTGACCAGTTTGGTCCACGCTCCAAACAAGTCCGCGCTGCTGCTCGCGCGAAGACGAAGACCCAAGGCGTAGCTCTAGCACAGGCCTCTGCCACCTGGCATGGGAGCTCTAGATTCTAGATGGGAGCCACGTGTGGGCAGACCGATGTGGAAGGGATCTGCTCTGGTGGCTCTGGTGGGCAGAGATATATGAGTCATGAGTACTGAAATCTTCTCTGGTGGGTATATATATATATATATCTGTCCCCTACTGAGTACTGTGAGGCTCCTCATATCAATCTGCAATGTCACAGGAGAGTGGAAGATGTTGGAAGGATGCCGGGTACTATCGATGCTGACGACCATTGTGGGAAAACTGCTTGCAAGCATCGATTTCTTAAACGACCTTTGTTTTGTTTGTGCTCCAGCATGAATACTTGTTCATGTCAACCTATTTTGCCCCTGTGTCTTCCCCGTGCAATCCAAGTATGCTTTTGGTACCAACAGAGCCGAGCTTCTGAGGATGTGCAAGACTACATCGAGTTCCAGTCCGACAGCGAGCTAGCTCATGGTGCACGTGGCTCAAGGCAAGCTCGCTCAGCGGCGAAATGAGAGATGGAAGTTGGAGTTTGAGGCTAATAGCAATGGCCTCCAACCTAAGAGCGATGGCCTCCAACCTACTGGCAATGGCCTCCAACCTAATAGCAATGGCCTCCAAAGTGGTTCCAGGAGTTTGTGGTACAGTTTGGAATGGTCTCAGATGCATGAACGGTCTACTGTTTAGTTCTGACAAACTATGCACGGAGTCAGTCCATCCATTTAATATTATCTGAGATGTCCTAGCACTGGCACCTGTAGACTCCATTGCAATAGGACGTCCAACGGACAGCAAGGACTGCACCTGGTGGGGTCGACTCCAATGCACCCAGGCTGCGATGCAAGATCGCCGCCCTGACACTCTGCTTCGCTGGCACCTGCGCCGCCTGGCAGGGACTCTTCGTCATCTCATTGGAGAAACCAATGCAGAGATGCAACGCATAAAAACATCCACAGCTTTTCTTGGTGATGGCATGAAGAGGCTGACGTCCCAAGTATATCACAGAGATGTACGCAAGTCGTTAGAAGCAGACTTCAGTTATCCTGGATGCGCTTGTAACTTACAGAGGTTTGGTATTGTGGCAGTACCCTTATCCAAACTTGGGGCCAACACTGCCCACCATGTCCACAAAAAGAAACACACCGAGGGTTTTGGCATCTGCGATGGACGGTGAAAAACCCACCAAACCAGCCTTGACGCCAAAAGCGCGTCCCCTCTGGACTGATGGCATGCCAACCTAATCGCAATGGCCTCCACCATAGTATAGCGATGGCCTCCACCCTAGTAGCGATGCCTGGCATGAGGCCTTGACTTTGCTGAAGGGCGGCGGTCGGATGGCATCTCCACTCGGCACCTGGGAGTCAAGTCGCCCCAAGCGGAACGCCTGGTGGGGGGTGCTGGATGCCTGAGAGCAGTGGGGAACTTGACGAAAGTCTGCAAAAGGAGCCTTCTTTCCCCAAAAGCAATGAAGACTAACGAAGACCTGTGACGAGTGTGATCTCCTTTTCAGCCGAGTCACCTCGCCCACAGACCGTGCTAGGTGCTGTGAAGGTGCAGTAGCTCACCCTGCTCATCTCATCGCCTAGACACATCTCATGAAGCTACTAGGAGCAAGGACTCTACTAGGGGCTCCTGGCCTTACTACTAGGAACAAGAAGCTACTGGTCTTCACTTGGAAAAATCGCCTTCTCACGGAACTCTTCGCGCGGAAAGCACCTGGTCTGCGTACCCGAGGGGTGGAGTGTGGCTCCATCGGCTTTTGGCTGCTCTACTTTGGCGCCGTGCCCTGGGTCTTAGCCTTCGCGCTGGGCTTCAGGCGGGTCCAGAAGGCCGAAGGATTGGCCCTGACAGATCGCTGACTCGCGAGCCCACGAATGCCCGTTGTTCCGGACTCGTCACTTAATAGGACCTATAGTAGCAAGAATGCTCCTAGTAGTAATGCCCTTTGTAGTAGCGATGCCCTTTGCTAGTAGCTTCTGGTTACTAGTCTTTAGAGACAAAGCAATGCATGACATCCATAGACGGCCTTTTACTGATTGGTACGGCCGTGGGTCGGTCACCTAAACATCCGAGGATAGACATCCCTGATAGATGGAGGACTATGTTCATCCCTTTCGGTCTGAGGTTGACACCTCCATGTCAGACCGACCGAGAAGAGCGGGGCGGATGGTTTACATCCGCTCGCCAGGCAGATGTTGGTCTCTGAGTTTCATCAGAAGCTGCAACAAGGCTATACCTTCCAGCCCGGTGAGGCCGAGAGTCGGGTTAGACGAGTTTTCACGCGGCATGGTAGGCGCGAGAGCGGGGGTAGGTCTCAGGGTCTTGGAGTTCATTCTTTGTTTTTGGCGCGAGTGAATGAAACGGACGTCTGATTCACATCACACACAAGAACACAAATTGATGTGGAAGGCCGGAATCGAAGTTGTTGAGGGGCCTGATGGCACCAAAGATAGCCTGCGAACATAAAGAGACTTGGCAGTAGACGGCTGGCATGCCGGCAAAAGGCATCCAGCTCCGATCGCGAAGGGCATCTTTCATTTGCAAGACACAACGAAACAAGCAGCAAACAGAAGCGGCACGAGGACACGCACGTGAAATAAAGTTAGCACCCAGACGCTCGAAAGAACCCTTCAAACCTAGGGATTGGTTTGACCATGTTTGACCCCAACCCCCTCCAGAGTAGTTATTCGGATTCGATCCCTTCATAGGTTTGGTTTTTCAGTTTCTTTGCTGGGCAATTCCTTTGACCTCCACTCCGCCAGGTCCGTTGGGACTCCCGCAACACGCTGCTCTATCCCCTACTTTGCGCGATCGCTGGTCTGTGGCTCGACGGAAATGACTGAGGCCTTTGAAAGCAAACCAAACATACAGAGTCACACCAACCTGTTTACACATGTTTACATCATTAGAGTTGCAGCCTATTCGGAGCATGTCTGGACTTTTGCACTACACCCCTCACAGTTGGGAATGAACTCAACTTTACTCCAAATTATCAAAGGGCATCGCTAGTAGCAAAGGGACGCTACTAGGGGCTCCTGGCATCGCTACTGGGAACAAGAAGCCATTAGAAACAAGAATTACAATTCAGACCAAATCGAAGACATTGATGCCGTATTGTCTCCTTAGTCCTCCAAAAAGCACCAAACGCCCGGGGTTCCGTTCGACTCCCCATCTTTCCGCTGGTCCGAGCGGTCCAGCCGCGCAGGTTGGCAGGGCTCTTTGGAGTGGGTGGTGGCATCGTGAAGCCTGGTTTTGGTTTGGAGTTTTTTATTTTTAGATTTAGTTTTTTTGTTAATAAATAAACAAAAATACCATATGTATATATATATATCATATATACCTAGAACCATATATATATATATATATACCTTTGTTTTGATAGAAAAATACAATGTTTTGGCTTCAAAACAGGGGTCAATCAGGTTCTAGGTATATATATATATATTCATTCCCTCATGAGGGAATTCCCCGAACCTTGGGGAAGGGTGTAAGGAGCCCCTAGCAGCGTCCTTGCTCCTAGTAGCGATGCCCTTTGTTCCTAGTAGCTTCTTGCTCGTAGTAGTAAGGCCAGGAGCCCCTAGTAGCGTCCTTGTATGTATTGATGGATCTTCTTTTTTCCCGGATTCCGAGTTGAGCAAATCCAAGGAAGGGCCCTCTGATGCTGGAGATGGGCATCATGCCGTCCCAGACCTCAGGGTGTGGACTCGAACGAATAGGTTCCGTTGGTTTGTGATTTTGGATTTAAGAACAACAGATGGTTTTAAGTGGCCAGTGATTCTCTTGGTCTTGGACATTAAGAGTGCTACTTTTTTTTTTTAAAACTTATACTGTATACATCGTTTATCATCATTTCATTGTTCGATCTCAGTTAATGTTGTTTTATCAGCTCTGCTCATCGTGTCTGTTTTTGGGTGCTCGAGTGCAGGGCATCGAGGCCTCCCTTCACCTCCACGTTGGGAACCAACGATATAGACTCAATTGAGTCTGGAGTAGCCATCCAAAGACATGTGATGGGGCAATGCGCAGCATCCAACAACGTGTAATCCTATCCTCCTGGGCCAATTGGTGGTTTGGGTACGCAAGGCTGTAACAAGTTGATACCAACTGACCTTGCACGACGATTCTGCAATATATCATAGCATACCATCATGCCACCTGCGGAATACATACTGACCAACAAACCCATTGACCACTTGCCCATCTAAACTCAAGGCGCCGGAGATCGATTCCGCAAATTCAAAGACTGTTCGTCTTTCTCAGTCTCCGCAATCTCCACACGCAGAAACACCAGCACCTGAACATCCAGATCGTTTTCCAACGGACACACAGACTCTACCCTTTCCGCGTCACCCGACCCACCAAACCCGCTGGCGCACGGGGACGGGCGCGCCGCTCCGACCGAGGTCGGTGGCCTCGGCCTCGGCGGCGGCCATGATCCTGTACACCTCGGCGGCGGCGAGCGCGTCGCCGCCCGTCTCGGGCGCGTCGGAACGGCGAAGGACGACGACGGAAGACGGAGTGACGAGGTGGTGCTGAATGAAAGATGGGGTGGTGCTTGGAAGATGCAGGTTTTTGTGTGTTGCCATGGGAAGATTTGTTGAACGACTAAGAAGATCAACATCTGGTTGACTTCAATGCAAAAGAGATCTCCGTTGGCATATGGTTTGACGGAATGTTCTAAGTGTTTGGCTGCACACTTGTAGGTCAGATACAGACCTTGTAGGTCAGGCTGCCATTCCTCAAGTTTCTTGCCAACATAAGACTGGGACGGCACACCGTCACTGGGCATTGTGATGTAATTGCTCTGGTATCTCTCAGTGGCACTTTTGGTTTTGGTGCAGGGCGGGGCGGTTTGGAAAGGATCATCGCAGATCTCTTTTCCACTTGATCCACTCTTCTTCATCAACGTCCTCTGCATTTCCTGAAATTCTTTCGTCTTCTTTGTCTTCTTCGCTTGGCTTCTTGGGCACCAAGCAACTCAAAGGAGCGAACCCAACCTGCGCTCCACACCCTCATCAGGCATGTTATGCTTGTCATAGACTTCACATGTGGCGCCGGGTGAAGCGTTTGATGATGGAGAGCCGCCACCTCGCCACCTCATCATCCAGTGAGCACGAGTGAAACGCCTTTGACAAAAAAGCTGTTCAAAAGCCGGTCGTGACCACCTTCTTAGGCTCCAGTTTGTTACGTTTTTCTTCGAGAAAAGCTTCGCAACATCCACATCCAGAGCTTCTTCTTGGAATGCAACCAATAAAAGCTTGTGAGGTTTCTGGTCTTCGGCTTGCTGCACCCGCTTTATGGTGCCCTCTTCTTCTTCCTTGGCCTGATCTGCACAGCCTTGGGCCAATACGTCGTGGGGCAGATCCTTGGCTCGACACCTGGGTCGAAGCGGACACCGACACTGGCGATGAATCGGACGGCTTCTCAAGAAGCGATCTCGTTCCTTAACAATCCATATATGAATCCATATGATCTATATGGGGCCAATCAAACAGCAGGTTGCCTTGGCTGTCTTGTTCCTGATTGGCTCCACCCGCTTCAGTTCGGATCTCCGACCGATGAATCGGACCGAGGTGGGTCCACAAGCAGAACCGTCAAAGCCCGATCGTGCTCTCCATTGGGACGGTGATCTTGCTCTCATCGGTCTTCGTGGCAGTGACTTGGTCCAGGTTTGAAGTAGACTGGGTTGGACTGGGTTCCTTTGAGTTGTTTTCTCTTCAGGTGCAAGTGTTGTATCTGGAAAGAGATAGAGATAGAGAGAGAGAGAGAGCGCAGGTGTGGGTGTCGGAAGTATTTTTGTCCCATCTTGGGAATACAAGAAGGGAATCATTTGGTCATTTACCGAGTGGCTTCCAAATACCACCCAACCTTGCTCAAAATGCTTCCATGCTGAAGTGGGCGGACGTGGGCTCAAGACGTAAATGTGAAGTGCCTTAAGAGCCACCAATGTCAGGATCATAGCTCAATTGAACCTTGTGCACGAGGAGCCAGCTACCACCCCTTGGTTTCTTGGTAGAACTGTGGCCCCCGTGTTGATGGACACAGCACTGCACCGATGGGCGTGTCTTGTCGATTGAGCCACTGCATTGTGCCACCCCCGACCATTCTCAAAGAAGACCAAATCACACACACACACAGATCACCTGCACATCCCCCGTTGATTGGGTCAGCACAAGTGCTCCTTTTGAGAAAGTGAATCAACACTTCGTTAAGTTTCCCTAAAATCTAGGAACCAATCATAAGTGCGAGCACTTCTTGAAGGAAGCTCCCCCACCCTCAGGCGGGGAGCTTTCATGAAGAAGCGTGAGCTATCCTGCGTCCTAGGTAGTAGCTTAAGTAGCTAGAAACAAACTTATCTTAATTAAGTAGTAGGGGGCAGGCCACAGGCAATAAATAAGATGTGTCTTTCTTCCTTTACCCACCGTGAGTCACCGCAGCGCTGAGATCAACACCGTGGTGATCTCCATTGGCCGCACTCGTGCAGAGCTCTTGGCCTTCCATGGCGTTTGTGATAGTGCAGCGTAGAAGCCGGTTCAAGCAGAGCAGTCGAGGGGTGATCGGACATGCTTTTCGCTTCCCTGCGAAAAGCAGCGAAAAGCAGATTTCGTCGACGTGTCTTTTTTCCCTTCTAATTTCATGTATTGGGTTCCCCGCTTTCACAATATAGTATGCTCAGAATCCACGAAGCTGTACACCCACGAGACATGTCAACTGATAGAGACAAAAGTCTCATCACGTGACTCTGACACAACTGCGGATTACTGGTTGCCTCTGGTATGTTTGAATGAATATATATATATATATTGGCTCTCAGACACGATTGGAACATATCTGGCACAAACAAAGAAGATTGGCCCTCGTAAATGTATACATCCGGGTGAAAGTGGTGATTGGACGTTTTGGCCTCTGACCGGGTGAAAGTGGTGATTGGACGTTTTGGCCTCTG